CCTTGATGCAGCCGCCGCAACAACCGTTGCTTTCTCTGCTTGGTCTGTGTGCAGGTGAGGATTGCTGTGGTTCCCGCTGCTCAGGAGGGCTGGTCCTACCGACTCACTCACGAGAGCGGACAGCCACCCACAACACACGACAAACAGGTCGGTGGCAGAGACGACACACCTGGCTGCATTTCTCTCGTCCATCCCCTCTGTGTGTGTGCCATCAGCCATGGCATCGTCTGTCCCGCGATGAACTCGTGTGCATCTTCGGCTACCTGTACCCCTGGGAGCTCGAGCGGCTGGACGCCTCGCTGGGCGCCCCGCTCTTCCTCCTCGCCCCGCCCACTACTCCCACCTCGCCATCGATGCATCCGTTGCCGAGACCGCTCGCCAGTGGGCGGCCATGCGTCACCGGCACCAAGCAGGGCGACCTTCCCTGTCTGAGAGGGAGAGAGGGCGGCATTTATCGCCGCTCTCCTCCATGTGCACTGGCTGGGGCAGCAGCGGGCGTGTGGCTGGCCGTCGTGGTAGGGTGCGTTCGGTATTCTTTATGTGCGTGTGTGTGTGTTGTGTCTGGATGGATGAATGGTCAGTGTACTGGCTGTTTCTTCAGTACCGTAGCGCAGGCACCCACTCACTGGTGTGTGTAGTTTGCTGGATGGCTTTCCTTCGCAAAGGTCACAGGTAGGGAGATTGACGCGGCATTGGTTGCTGTAGATTCCGTGAGCACACGCAGACAGGCAAGAGAGAGAGAGAGGTGTGCACTACTTCACGGGCAAGTCTGTCTGCCCCCGTCTGCCCTCTCGTCTGTCTGCCTGCTGTGTGTGAGGCAGCTTGCTGTGCTGAACCGCACACAACGTGTCGTCTTTCTGTGGTCGACGAAGGGCGAATTGATGGATAGATGGATGGCAGTAGGTGGCCAGTTTCCCTTCGCAAAGGTCACAGGTAGATTGACGAACTGACTGACTGACAGACAGGTATGCGGCAAGTAGTGTGCGGCATTTTATATGTGTTGCCTGTCTGCTTGGGCGAGGCCATTTATTCTGGTTGCTGCCTATGTGAGCACAGGCAGATAGACAGGTCAGAGGTGTACCAATCAATGAAGTGAACCACACGTACATCCATCTCATGTCATGTGTGTCACGTGTGTTGTCGATGGGGGGCAATGCAGCCACACAGACAGACAGACAGGCAGGGAGGGTCGGGGGAGAGAGGGACACATCCAACAGGCAGCTGCAACTGTAGAGAGAGATAGAGGTGACTTGCTGTCTGTGCGGACAAACAACAGCGTGTCATTACATGGTGATGGCTGGGCGGCAACGGACCCGCTGGTCTGTTCAACACCGATAGATTATCCACACAAAGCCACACAAAGGCACAGTGATAACCCATCGTCACCACCACAGGCAATTGAGATCTCCGCCCCCTCAGTGCATCTGAGTGATATTTGTCCTCCAAACGGTCTGTTTGTGCTCATCAAGTGTGCTCGTCAGACAAGGGGCGGGGAAATCGCCACAAAAATTGTGCGTGCTGGATCGCCTCCCTTCGAAGAGAAGAGAGAGATAAAAATGGCGCCGCCTTACGTCGCCTGGCATCCAGCACAGATGCCCCGTCATCCTCACGTTCAACATTATTACTATCCGCCTGGACGGCCGGCATTCCCGCTCATCAACACGCCGGCGTCCTATGGCTACGACGAGGGGCTGTCGCGGCACTACTATCCCGTCCCCGCCACCGCGCCCGACGCCCCTGAGGGCCAGCAAACTGAGATGTGCGCCCCCTGTGAGGCTGTGGTCAACGCCGCCCGCGCTATGGACCAATGGATCCGAGAGCAAGTCGCGAAGATCGGCGACTCGCTGCGGCAGTGCGGGTGCTGCCTCGTCAGCGGACCAGAGAGCCAAGAGGCTCAGCGGCCGAGCGATCCCTCGGCCGACGACCAGCTGACAGGCACCTCGCCGACCAGACGACCAGCTGACAGGCACCTCGCCGACCACACCTCCCTGGGGGAACGTTGCACACCCCCGGGCTCTGCAGCAGCGCGACGGCCCTCCTGCTGCATCCCACCCCCATCCCCATCCCCTTCCCCACCCCCACCATATGGGGTTTGTGGCTGCGGTTCCGCGCCCGGCCCCGCTGCGGCCCATCTACACGGCCACGGCCACCCCACCACTGATGGGACCGCAGCACCAGCAGGCTCCCCGCACGATGTCCGCCGCACCATGGCCACGGCCACCTATTTACCGCTGCGGACCGGGGCCTGCTGTAATCGTTGCTGGGCCGCTTAACGGCGGTCTTCAGCCGGGAGAGGGAGGGGTTCATGTGCATGTGCATGATTTATCAGCCAGCAGCCCACCAGCCACCACCACGAGGCTGCTCCAGCCATGCCGCCCACTAGAGAGGAGGACCACCACGGGCAGGCCACGACGACAGAGGAGGACAAGGAGGAGAAGGAGAAGGAGGATGCTGACGTAGCTGTTGCTGTTGACGAGAGTGTCCCCCGGCCAGCCGAGGAGGCACCACATGATAGTCTGCATGAGGAGGGCGTATCTGCGCCCGACTGTGACCAGGATATGTCTAGCGGGTAAGGCCACACGCAGAGAGTGACACGTTGACCCCACGATGCATCTCATCTGTTCTGTCTGTGCGTTTGTTGTTTCCCTTCCTCCTCAGATTGTCGATTGCTGATGTGATTAACGAAGCCGCCCAGCCCACACCAGCCGCTGCACCTTCAGCACCACTCTCTCCCTCTCCCGCCCCCCACTACGCAATGGTGCACAGCGGCGAGGCGGCGGACTGCCTACACCAGCGCGACTCCATCTCGTTTGCACACATCCACGAAGGCAGCCGCAGCCTCTTGTGCGTCCGCAAGACCACCGCCACAACCAGACAGCGCACCGAGCCGGCCCTGCACTACCTACTCTCCCACCACCATGCCACCCGCACCAGACGCCCCGCCGACCAGCTCCCTGATGCCGACCCATCGGCCGCCCACGGCAAGGGGATAATCCCCCCCATCCTTTGGCCGGTCGTCAAGGAGGCGATCGGGGGCGAGTACGGGCGTGTGCAGGGTCTCTTCCGCAAGGGAGGGCCCGCATACTGCCTGTACTTGACCTCCAGCGAGGGGCGACAAGGGGGCCATGCCGCTGGCGGACAGCTGGCCGTCGTCGATGCCATCGACCCCCCCACCAGCAATCAGCCACAGGGCGGCGGCTTCGTCTGTCTTCGTGTGCTCGCCTTCCCGCCTGGTGCCGCCTCAGTGCTGCCCCTGCTGTCGGCCAGGAACGTGACCCACATCGACGGCAAGGAGGTGGGCACCATGGCGGGAATAGAGATGGCGCTCGGCACGAAGATCGACAAGATCATGCGGGAGAAGCTGGGGCTGGATGAGGAGGAGAGGCAGCTGGCGAGGGTGCTGGGCACCATCGACCTGCTGGACAAAGCCATTCATGGAATGCATAATGTGAGCGGGGGCACATGACACTGACAGGGGAGGGGCAGATCAGACCACACGACGTGTGCACACGTGTCACCTTCTTTCTCTGGCTGATTGGTGTGTGTCTTGGTGTTCAGGTAGCCGTTTTTTCTGTTGAGGAGGCACAGAGGCGCGTCGAGGAGGCCGTGGCTGCTGCTGTTGCTGCCGGTATGTCGCCCGCGGACGCCATCAGCCCCGTGCAGCTTCCCGAGGAGCTTCCGGGCCCCTCGACCTTCGTGTCGACCGACGACGAGTCGTCGAACATCCTTGTTGGTTTCCAGCATGTGGTGTTTGACCTCGTCGGCGGCGGCCAGCTCACGCGGAAGCTGGTGGTGGCCGTGCCCACCCGCATCGATGCGGCCGGCAAGGAGAGGGGCAACATTGTCACGGGCGGCTGCAAGCCCTCTGCCTCGCCCA